CTGCATACCAGTACCCAGTTATGCCAGCACCATTTGTTGAAGATGCTTTCTTTTTTCCATTGTACAGTTTTAGCTTCTTTGTCGAAAATCAAGTGTTCATAGGTGTGTGGGTTAAAATTAGAGCTTTTGATTCGGTTCCATTGGTCTACCTGCCTATTTTTGTGCCAATACCAAGCTGTTTTCAGGACTATAGCTCTGTAATAGAGCTTGAAGTCAGGTATGGTGATGCCTCCTGAAGTTCCTTTATTGTATAGGGATGTTTTAGCTATCCTGGGCCTTTTGTTTTTCCATATAAAGTTGATTAATGTTCTTTCCAGGTCCTTGAAGAATTGTGATGGAATTTTGATAGGGATTGCATTGAATCTGTAGACTGCTTTTGGCAAGATTGCCATTTTTATTATGTTGATCCTACCAATCCAAGAGCATGGGAGATCTTTCCATTTTCTGGTATCTTCTTTGATTTCTTTCTTTAAAGACACAAAGTTCTTGATATACAGGTCTTTATTTTCCTTGGTTAACATTATCCCCAGATATTTGATGCTGTTTTTGGCTATTGTAAAGGGTGATGTTTCTCTGATTTCTTTCTCAGTCACTTCATCATCTGTATATAATAGGGCCGCTGATTTTTTTGAGTTTACCTTGTATCCTGCCACATTGCTGAAGGTGTTTATCAGCTCTAGGAGTAACCTTGTGGAGTTTTTTGGGTCACTTATGTAAACTATCATATCATCTGCAAATAGTGAAAGTTTGACTTCTTCTTTTCCTATTTGTATCCCCTTTATCTCCTTTTGTTGTCTTATTGCTGTAGCTAGAACTTCAAGTACAATATTGAAGAGATATGGAGAGAGTGGACAGCCTTGTCTTGTTCCTGATTTTAGAGGAATTGCTTTGAGTTTCTCTCCATTTAGTTTGATGTTAGCTGTTGGTTTACTGTATATTACTTTTATTATATTCAGGTACATTCCTGTTATCCCTGATCTCTCTAGGACCTTTATCATGAAGGGGTGCTGGATTTTGTCAAAGGCTCAGCATCTAGTGAGATGATCATGTGGTTTTTCTTTCACAGATTGTTAATATGGTGGATTACATTGATAGATTTTCTAATGTTGAACCATCCCTGCATTCCTGGGATGAAGCCTACTTGATCATGGTGGATGATTTTTCTGATGTGTTCTTGAATCCGGTTTGTGAGTATTTTATTGAGTATTTTTGCATCAATGTTCATGAGGGAAATTGGTCTATAGTTCTCTTTCTTAGTTGTGTCTTTGTGTTGACTTCTTTGCTGTGTGGGCAGGTCTCCTGAAGCTGTACTCGCTGGGGTTGGGGTCTTGGAAGGGCTGATGTCTTTCCTGAAGCTGGACTCGCTGGGGTTGGGGTCTTGGAGGGGCTGATGTCTTTCCTGTGTGGGCGGGTCTTCTGGATGCCAGGAGCGGCCCGAAGATCAAGGGGGATGGGGGCAGGGCGGGCGGTCCCCGCCAGAGACCCAATCTCACCTGAAGCTGGACTCGCTGGGGTTGGGGTCTTGGAAGGGCTGATGTCTTTCCTGAAGCTGGACTCGCTGGGGTTGGGGTCTTGGAGGGGCTGATGTCTTTCCCGAGTAGCCAGTGTTCTTAACCACTGATCAGTCCCTCCAGTCCTTATATATGCATAGTTTAATAGTATTCTAATGCCTGATATAAATATTTTATTTGAAATGAACTATTGATAATTTTATGCCAGTATTATAAATAATAGGCTACACAAAATTGAAAAAAATGTTTCAGATAAAAAACATAGGTCTTAGTCTTCATAAGATTGCTATATTTACTTTTTTTTGTTTTGAGACAGGCTTTCTCTGTATTGTTTTAGAGGCTGTCCGGGAACTCACTCTGTAGACCAGGCTCGCCTCGAACTCACAGAGATCTGCCTGCCTATGCCTCCCAAGTGCTGGGATTAGAGGCGAGCGCCACCAATGCCCGGCTGCTATATTTACTTTTATTGGCATATCAAATAAATAATATTCCTAGAGTCAAGTTGAAAAATGAAATAAGAAGACTTCACTTTTTTTGGGCAGTTGAGATGATTAATGGGTAAAGGTGCTTGCTGCCAAGCCTGATGACCTGAGTTCAGTCCCATGTGATGGAAAGAGAGAACTGACTCCAAGTGTTTTTCTGACCTCCACACCCTCATACCCACTACACAGAATACATAAATGCAATTAAAAGGCCTTTATCCTTTGGTCTTTGAAATATTCAGATATAGATGAAATGTAGAAGAGAGCTTAAGGGATTCTGTGTCCAATCTGACTTGATTTCAATCATTGTTGGTAGTTTGGCATTCTTTCTTTATCTTGACTAGCCTTCACCATCTATTTGTTTCTGCTACTTCATACTCAGTCTTGAAGTTGTGTTGTTTTTCCAGAAATACTTCTTCCTATGTTATATAATGTTAATGAAACTAAATTTTTTAGGAAAGTAAATGTGATTCATTTTGTCAATTTTCAAAATATTAAGTTGGTATCCCAGCAACCTTTGAATGAGTGTAACTGAGTCTTAATGTTTCATTGTGGACTTGTGAAATTCATGTCCTGCTTCCTTGTAACTTGCTTCGGCCATTGTTTAGTTGTGATACTGCTGATAGTTTGTGGAATTCCTAAAGTTTGCTCCTCCCTTTGACCTTTGTTACCATTTAAATATGTTCTCATTCCCTTCTATATGTTTAGTATGTTTCTAATAATTTAGTATGTCCAAGGCTTATGTATACATTATTTCAGTCATTATTTCCTTGGGCAAACCCAGCTGATCAGTGAGAATCACCCAGAGGTCATAACACAGTGCCAGGGAGTTTATTTATCCCAGGAAGTTGTTGATCCTAGAAGTTTGGTATTACTTTCACCTTGGTGCCTGATTTGACATTGTTCTAGTATATACTCAGTCTTATTTTCAAGATTGTGTGATATTTTGGCAGAAGTGAAATAACAAACACCACTGAATTAAGTTTAACATTCCTTCTCACTGGTACTCAGTGAGAATGACTGCTGTTTTCATGGGTCTTATGAGATGGCAGAGAAGAGTAAACGTTAATGAGCTAAACTGAAACTATGACTCAGTTTTCTAATGATTTGACAAAATATATGAGACACTTTAAGAAGGAGAATTGTATTTTGGTTTAGAGTTTTAAGAGTTCAGTCCAGGGTCACTTGTCCCTGTTGTCTTTGAACCTGTGGTGGGAGCTTATGAGCAAAGAGGCCTTTCCACCTCAAGGTTGAGTGATAGGCCCGGAGAGAAAGGGGAAGGGCAGAGGCACACCTCTGTGTGACCTGACTCTTCACTAAGCTACTTCTGTGGTGGGTTCCACCACTTCCGACAGCGCCCATCTGAGTATGAAGCTGTTCACACTTGGGCTTCTGGGAGGTATTCCAGATCCAAGCTATAGCAGAAGCAACACTTGGATGAAGTGCAGGGGACACAAAGTATTTGCTCTGCTGGCAGGGGGTTCTCAAGCAGTGTCTCACACACCCAGCATCTGTGCTGGGCATTAAACAGCCAACTGGTTGTACACAAGATGAAGAAAGGACTTTCAGAGAGAAGGAAAAACTATGCATCAAGGAAGCAGGGCAGCTGTTTGGGAAACCATAATTGAAGTGGAAAACAAGAATAGATGGCGCAAGTCAGGAAAGATGAGTTTGTGCACTGCAAGGTCTGATTTAGGCAGGTCTCATGGGCTCTTCAGAACAACTGGTGAACAGAGAAATCTTAGGAGGAAAGCGGCATATGGGGAAGTTCAGTTTTGACTTGACAGACTTGCAGGTATGTGCAGAGAGCAAGTACTTAGTATTATTTGTGGAATGAAAGAAGAAACAGGTGTAATCACAGGAAACAGAGAAATAGAGCCTGCATGTTGGCCACTGGTACTTGGCCCATGTTCTGGCTCACTGTCTTACCATAAGATTTTCATAGAAAAAATCAACAAGGCAATTAGCTCAGTAGAAAAATAGCCAAAGCATAGTTAGTGGTAAACTCACAGAAGGGGAACTCTGAAAGGTTAAGTAGGTCTGTGCTAACAAGTTCAAAGTCACTGTAACTACCCAGGATATGCAAATAGAATTCTGATCCTGTGATGGGAAAGTGCTTAAGTCTGAAGAAAAACTGGTTTTGACTTGGATGTGAACTCACAGAAGTCTGATGTGCTACTTGCTGGCAAGTGTTAGCTGGTGAGCCATTGTAGAGTGGTGAGTGGTCAGCCTTGAGAAAGTCAGAAGACCTACTTGATGGCATTTCCATTCATATAAACCCTGTACAAGGGCTGGAGAGATGGCTCAGAGGTTAAGAGCACTGGCTGCTCTTTGAGGTCCTGAGTTCAATTCCCAGCAACCACACCGTGGCTCACAACCATCTGTAATGAGGTCTGGTGCCCTCTTCTGGCCTGCAGGCATAAACCCTGTACAAGAGACATGTTCAACTTAGAGAGTGAAACAAAGTATGATGTTCTATGTATAAAGTCAATTAAGGAAAATAATATTATTGTAATATGTGCTAACAGATTAAAATACCGAGTTTTAGAGCTTGGTTATCTCTAATGGGGGTAAGCAGGAAGGAAACAGAATTGTAAGCCTTCCTTTGAAAGTGTGTCATTTACGTACTTGTGCATGTGTATGGGTGCACACTCCCCACAGCATATGTATGGAGGTGAGGGGACAACTTGCAGCTATCTGTCCTCTCCCTGCACCATGTGTGTTCTGCAGTAGAACTCGGGTCATCAACCTTGATAGAAGGTTCACTGACATGCAAACCATCTTGCCTGCTTACAATGTTGTAAAAGTAGGTAACAGTTCCCAAGTATTGTTTTAAATTCTTTTTAAGATATTTGAAGTGTTTCAGTGAAAAAAATCTTGTACCTAGACAATTTCAGATTTGTCTTTTGCTCTCAAAGTAAAATATTTTCCTAGCATCTAAATAATTTAAAGAGCTACTTTGCAGATTTGACTGATAAATGAGCTTAGAAACTATTTGGTCTTTCAGAAATGACTTCAGCAACAGACTCACACAATGCCCTCTGTAGTTCCTGCATCTCCCAGGATTCATCCTGCGTGGACTCCTAAATCACGTCAAATGCCTCAGCTGCAAGTTCCTAGCAGAACACTGAGATTTTATCCTGTTGTCAAAGAACCAAAAGCCATCGGTGTAAAGGTAAAAATGATCAGGAATATGAGACCTGCATTGTATATCCCTTTACAGTGCAAGAGAAGACTTCTTAACACATGTATTTCTATATTGTAACAAGTCACTTTAAAGTGGTATTTACCGTAGTGATGTTCTCAGGCTGAGAAGTACCTTCTTTTACAGAGTGATGTGATAAAAGACAATTACAGTAGTGAGTTATTCTGTGTTTTCCTTTAGCCTTGTGCTCAAACCAAGACAGAGTCCTTGTTGTTAAGCTTTGCAACTTGTGTGTAAGATGTTTGGGTTTTGTGACTTCATGTGATTTCACAATGTGCCATCTGCAGTGTGAAATGGGTGAGTTGGTTTGCAGTCAGAGGGTTTTAATTTCCTTGTGAAGTTCATACTACCAAAAGAAATTGCAATGTTTGACTTCTTTTTCTTTAGAGTCCACGAAAGAGGAAGACAAGTCACAGCACAAACCCCCCTCTAGAGTGTCACGTTGGGTGGGTGATGGATTCCAGGGACCATGGGCCAAGACCACCCTCTGTCAGGTACCTGGTTGTCAGCCACTGTTTTATGCTCATTTCAAGTTTTCGGGAAAGGGTACTAAGTTGCTATTTGGAAGGATTTGAAAATGAATATATAGAGAATTATCCAGCAGTGAGCAATCGCAGAGCCTTGCAGGAAGCACTTGGAGGAGAGACTTGAGGATGGCTCTCCAGGGGCGCAGAGAGAAGACTTCAATGGCACAGCTTGTTTTTCCTTTCAGTTCTTCTCACAAATGGGGATTGTTAGATTTGTAAATGGTTTGAGTGTTGGAAAGTTTCCTTAGTAAGAGCCTAGATTCATCTTAATATTTAGCAAGTTTCTGGGAGGTGCGAAGAGAATTTTTGTGTCAGTCTACTCAAACTATATTAAGAATATAGAAACAGAATATTTTGAATTTTGTTTTCTTCTTTGGGAGAAACAATTTAGATAATTAGCAGGATGTATATATATTTTTCTTTTAGTTTTAACTTTAAGAAGACCATTATATGCCTCAAAAATAGGTGAAAATATAAGCCATTACTGTGCTTTCATGGGCCCCTGTGATGGCTCACTGGATAAAGTAGCTGCCATGAAGTCTGACACCTGGAGTTGAGCCCCCAGAACTCTTATGTGGTGGAAGGACAATTCCTCATCATCTGCCCTCTAGTGTCATGGCATGTGTGTAGGTGAGTCTACACACACAATAGGTATAATCGAAGCCTATTTCATGTTTGTCGTAGATATTTTCAAATTACTGTCTGATCATTTTTTCTGTTTCACACTGAATTCTACTGAGCCATTTGGTGGGCCCCAGGAAAGATAATTTTTATGAAAACAAGTGCTAGGCATTTCATCTTGAATTCACAATCTTGAAACTTTCTTTTTTCGATACTTATTTAGAGTGCTTTTACACTGCTCTCATTAAACACATGTCTTTAACAGGTAAAATATGTGTGCTGTTCAACACACTGCTTTTGAAGGGTTTTAATCCTTGAGTGGGTTGTTTGTGTGTGTGTGTGTGTGTGTGTGTGTGACTTTGTTTTAGCATGTTTAGAAATCAATAGGGAATGGTCAGTGACATTTAGTTTAGGTAGAGTGTGGTTTTTGTTTGTTTGTTTGTTTGTTTGTTTTGTTTTGAGACAGAGTTTCTCTGTGTAGCTTCTTGTCCTGGCACTCACTCTGTAGAGCAGGTTTGCCTTGAAGTCACAGAGATGCACCTGCCTCTGCCTCCTGAGTGCTGGGATTAAAGGTATCACCACCTGGCATATTTTTCTTGCTAATGATTAACATTCATAACTTACCTATTCCCTTTCCTACCCCATACTTTGTCACAAATATGGATAGTGATGATGAATCTAACATCTGCACACTCTTAAACACAGGTTACTACCATGTTGTGTTCCCACTAGATACGCTTCCTTGTGTCCTTGGCAGTGTCTCCTGTTGAAAGCTGCTTTGTTGAACACTAACATAGCTGGGGTTTTCTTTTATTTATCGTATTTTCCTGTGTTTATATAGTCAAGATTCTTGTTTTGTTTTTTGTCTAACTATGTGACTCAGGCTGTCCTCAAACCTCAGCCTCCATGTGTGAGATTGCAGTTATGAATGACCAAACCTGACTTTGTCAGATTCTCCATGGCATCTAGAGTCACACACATATGCAAACACACATTTTCATACACACAATATTTATCCTGTTCTGTTTCTCTGATAGTACTGGTTTGATATATTAGTTAGGAAAAATTCTTACTGTGTATTTTTTTAATTGTGTTGAGTTTCTGTGTATCATGTATGTTCAGGAGCCCATGTAGATCAGCAGATGGCTTGGTTCACCTGGAACAGTTAGTTGTGAGCCACCATGTGGGTGCTGGGAACTGAACCTGGGTCCTCTGCAAGAGCAGAAAATTATGTTAACCTCTGAGCTGTCTCTCCAGCCCCTTTTCTCCTCTTGTTGCTTTTATTTTATATTCATAATACACACATAACATTTATGTCTCAGTGTTCTTGTATCTCTGGTGTTTAACTTTCCTGATCTTTCTCATTATAGTAATTTTGACTACTTTTGACCTATGTTTAAATATACATACTATTTTCTCCTCAGCAAGTTCTCTGTTTACATATGGTACTCACCTTTTACATTGGGTGGTGGTGGTGGTGGTGGTGGTGGTGGTGGTAGTGTGTGTGTGTGTGTTTGTAACTGGGTCTTACTATGTAGCCCAGGCTGGCCTAGAACTTACTATATAGACCAGGCAGGCCTCAAACTCAGACCATCCTATCCCTGTTTCCAAAGAACTGATAATAAAGGTGTGTATTCTCACCTGGCAACAGATCTTTAACGTTTAATGACAATCAATTTGAAGTCCATTTCATGGTCATATCAATGGTGACCCTGTGCTTGGCTCTGGCGGTAGCTCTTGCATTATCAATAGGTCCTTGACTTTGACCAAACACAAGATAGTTACTGCTGACTTTTGTTTGTTTTTGCTTTTGGTATCCATCTTGCAACGTTTCAAACTATGTAAGTTTAATTTTCTTTGCTGGGTTTTGTTTGTTTGTTTTTTAAGACAAGGTCTTTCTTACATAACTCAGGCTATCCTCAAATCCAATATATAACTGAGAATGACCGACCTTGAGCATCTGACTTCATGCCTGTACTTCCTGTGTGCTGGGACTGCAGGTGTGTGCTAGAGACTGAGCCCAGAACCCTGTGCACTCATTCTAGGCAAGCACTGTCAACGGAGTTCCAGTCCTAGCCCCTCTCATCATTCCGTTTGCCTGCCTGCCTCCTAACCGAGGTGGTGCTGCACATGACCAAAATACACTGTATGGAATTCTCACAGTGCTAATGAAAATATATTCATTTTAACTAGAAAAAGAAGATAAAGCTAATCCAAAAAGAATAATAGAGTAGAGCAAAAAAATGGCAACAGAATATAAAAACAATAAAGAAAATCAAGAACTGAACATTGACTCTTTAAAGAGATCAACAAAATTGACAAAATTCTAAACTGACCAAGATATAAATGGAAATATCCAAAATAAAAATTAGACAGTAGGTGCTCAGAAGATGGGTAAAAGCACTTGCTGCATGCACATGCATGAGAACCAGCATTTGAGTCCCCAGTGCCCACATGAAAAGCTAGACATGGCTGTATTTCTGTAACTCCATTACTGTCTCTGAGGGAGACAGATACACATGAGCTTGCTGGCAGCTAGCCTAGCTCCAAGTTCAGTAAAGAGACCTTGTCTCTAAGGAATAAGGAAGAGAGTGACAAAGTAGGATCCCTGGTGTCCTCCCTGCTTCCAGTTATTCCACTAAAAAGGAAATGATCACATTACTGTGTTCCATAGCTGTGGCTGGGTGGACCTGTGCGGTGGGCCTGTGCTGGGGGCCTGTGCGGTGGATCTGTGCTGTGGACCTGTGCTGGGGACCTGTGCGGTGGATCTGTGCGGTGGACCTGTGCTGGGGACCTGTGCGGTGGATCTGTGCTGTGGACCTGTGCTGGGGACCTGTGCGGTGGATCTGTGCTGTGGACCTGTGCTGGGGACCTGTGCGGTGGATCTGTGCTGTGGACCTGTGCTGGGGACCTGTGCGGTGGATCTGTGCAGTGGACCTGTGCTGGGGGCCTGTGCTGGGGACCTGTGCGGTGGATCTGTGCTGGGGGCCTGTGCGGTGGATCTGTGCTGTGGACCTGTGCTGGGGGCCTGTGCTGGGGACCTGTGCAGTGGACCTGTGCTGGGGACCTGTGCGGTGGACCTGTGCGGTGGGCCTGTGCTGGGGGCCTGTGCTGGGGACCTGTGCTGGGGGCCTGTGCGGTGGATCTGTGCTGTGGACCTGTGCTGGGGGCCTGTGCTGGGGGCCTGTGCGGTGGATCTGTGCTGGGGGCCTGTGCTGGGGGCCTGTGCTGTGGACCTGTGCTGGGGGCCTGTGCTGGGGACCTGTGCTGTGGACCTGTGCTGGGGACCTGTGCTGGGGACCTGTGCTGGGGGCACAGGCTGCAAGCATGATCATGACAGGAGCGCATGACAGAGCAAAGCTACTTCCCCCATGGTCATGAAACAAAAGGGAGAAAAGAGGAGGCCAGGGTCCCCTCATCCCCTTTACAGACTTATGACCTACAGACTCTTCATTTAACTCGACATCGAAAGGTTCCACTACCTCCTAAAAGCACTGGTGATGAAGCCTTTGGAAACACTCAACATCCAAACTATAGCAATACTTTTGACTGAATTAGGAAGAAAAATCTCAACTGACCTGTAATAAGAGATTGAATTGATAATCAGAAATTTCCCAATAAAAAGTCTTGGACCAAATGGCTACATCAGTAAATTCTACCCTGCATCTAAAGAAAACAAAATTGCAAGCAACTGTCTTTTTTTTTCCTGTCTCAATTCTGTCTTTATTTTTCTTTTACTGATAATAGCCACTGTCTCTTTTTAAGATAGACACAAAGGTCATAAGAAAGTACTGGCAAGTAAAACTAGGTAGCATATGAATAGAACTATTTACTATGGCCAGAGGAGTGACATTTCAGTAACATACAAAATAAACATATAAAATCTATTAATAGGATGTAAGAACAAAAAACACATATGGTCATTTCAATTGACATGGCCTATCGTGATTAAAAACTCAGAAAAATAGGAATAAAATGGCATGTTAACATTATACTCAGTAGTGAGATATACAAAGCTTCCTACCACAGAAAGGAATCCTTGATACTGTACTGAAGGGTATTACCAGAGCCAGAAGACAAGATAAAGAAACAAAACCCATCAAATTGGAGAGGAAGATGCACAACTCTGTTATGGAAGCGTCGACAGGTGTGTTAGATAGGGTTTCTATTGCTGTGAAGAGACAACATGATCTCGACAACTCTTATAAAGGAAAACATTTAATTGGGGCTGATTTACAGTTTCAGAGTTTTAGTCCATTATCATCATGAAGGGAAACATGGTGGTATGTAGGCAGACATGGTGCTGGCGAAGGAGCTGAGAGTTCTTTATCTTGATCTGCAGGTAA